TAATAAATTCGGGCCAGATAATTGTTTGACTAGAATCAAGTAATTCAAGATAATCTCATATATACTTGTCTTTGATGGTTGAATACGTTGGTTATGCCCATCGTGTTGGATGAAGTCCTTGGAATGATCGTGACGTCGGGTAGAGAGCCGGATGATTCCAGAGGCTTTCTCGCCTCTGCTAACTTGGAAGTAGGGACTGCGATTTTCCTCACAGTTGTCGCAAAAGTTGCCGAGCCATGAGTACCTACCCAAAGTAAGAAGTAGGGTTCATTGTCAATCTTACTCCAGCGACATTTCCTACATCTCAATCTGACCACCAGCGAGTCACCAAGCGAAACATCACGGTCACGAAAAGATACGTGAAAATATCTGCCTTTTCTGTGGTGTGTCAAGGACAGGCACTAGGAAGCTAATCGCACGTGGCTGAGTTTCTAGAGTTCTTGAGGTGGTGATGTGGCTTGCATATAACCAATGAGCGAAGACAGTGGTGATATGCCATTTTCAGCTGAATCGGTCCAACAACCGCTTTCAAATGTTTGCGAATATTCATCTCCTCTGAATCATCGCAACTGTCTCGGACACAGGTTCGAATCATAGAAATGGATGAAGAATCAGCGACAGAGGCAAATGAAAAGAAGAATGTCCAAAATTCGAGAGATGTTGACCCAGCCGAGTTCTTTGTGCCTCATCCTCGGATGCTTGACATCACGCATCCTGGATTTAGCTCGGCTCTGTTAGTGTTCTGCGAGCAAATTTGGAACTACAGCATCTTTACTTGCTTGTCATCGGTTTTCTTTCCTTTGAGACTTGAAGTAGCTCATTGGATCTGCGACTCGATATTCCAGCCTCGCCTACGGATCCCAACCATACTCACATATTCAGTCTCTGCACTTGGCATCCTCAATAACGCCTTTCGAGAGCATCAATATCCGACAGATTTTGATCTTGCCAATTCGATCAGAATCAGCTCTGAATTTCGCAACCTAGTCATCTTCCTCTTCACCTCGATATCCTACGTTTTCTGCGTCAACTTGCTTGATCGCCATGCAGAGAAGTATTGGCGTGTCCTGGGACAAGTAAAGGGTCTCGTGTGTCGTGGTTATGGCATACCCGCTATCTTGCTTGGTCTCGCGCTTCCAGTCTGTGGATTTGAGACGGCAGCTGTTTTGCACCAATTCCACCGCCTCCTTACAGATGTCATTTGCTTTCCACTCCATTTACTGAGAATCCCAGAGGCCCTCATCAGATGTGGCAGTAACAAAGCAAAACACCTTCTGACTCGTTGGAGAGCCGCACGAGCATATCGGATTCTCAAGTCTCCACAACGGGCAAGCAAAAACTATGAGTACGGCACACTTTCCGAGACGGCCAAGGAGTTCCGACTTTTGAAAATTCAAGTCGGGATATTCTCGACATGCGAATTGGTGACTGTTCCTGGACCAGATGGTATAATACCAGCATACGAAGCTGTATCATGGAGATGGGACGGGCCAGAGAAATTGAAAACTCTCAGCATGAACGGAAAGATCCTAAATATCACCCAAAGAGTGTCTGAAATCATCCAAAAACTCACGCCCTTATACGGTAAAAGATATTTATGGATTGACTCTATCTGCATCAACCAAGACGATAATGGCGAAAAGTCATCTCAGATTCAGCTCATGTCACAACTTTACCGCAACGCGACTAGGGTCATTGCTTATCTTGGTGACGCTGATAATGCGTTTCTTATTCCCGGTTTTGTCGGTAGACTTGATGCTGCGGCCTTGCAGCGGATAGACCCGACTATATTCAAACAAACAGACCCGCTTGACCGATTTCCATACTCAAACGAAGTGCAAAATTGGACTGCACTTCAAGACTTATTTCGACATCCTTTCTGGTCGCGAATATGGATCATACAAGAGATCACTCTCGCGAAATCCGTGACTCTTCTGTACGGCACGAATTATCTGCAATTCGATCTTCTGTCTCGAGTAGCCCAAAGCTTCGTTACTGATAGCCCTGTGACTAGGGGACCAATCCTTTCTATGAACAACTTCTTCGGGGGAGACAGGCTAGCATGCTTACACGGAAGAATGAATGTCGCATTTCTAGCAATGGCGAGAGAGATATACTCGAGAAACAACGAGGTGCCCTTGTCACAAGTACTGCAACAGACCAGGGCGGCAGCAGCCACCGATGATCGAGATCGTCTCTACGGGCTTCAGGCCTTGGACCCGATCCTTCGGACGCCAGAGTTGACGCCAGACTATAATATCAGCGTTGAGAGATTGTATACAAAACTTGCGAGATACTCGTTAAAGAATGGCTCATTCTCCCTCTTTTGCTTGGCTGGCTTGGATGCAAAATCCTCGCTAGCTATTCCCTCTTGGGTTCCAGACCTGACATCTATCCCCACAAAGCAAGCAATTCACGATGCAGACTGCCAGTACTCTGTCGCGGGGACGACTACAGTTGCTATCGACGCTGGGGCCGATCAGGTTCTCTCAACGACAATCAAGCTCAGAGGCTTGGTTCTCGGCCGTCTTTTGAAGATAGATAGGAATAATTACTGGACAACCATCTTAGCACTTCCGGATGACGTACGTGAGGAAACTCTGCGAGGAGTTCTACGTGATGGGCATGGAACAGATCTACGGCCTGGACTACGTCAGTGGTTGGAATCCGTGGTGAGGATGGTCCGAGACGATTATGGCATGATTGGGTTGAAGAATTACAAGACCGGCGGACCACTCTTGGAAGCGGTTTTACGAACAATGATTGCTGACAGGGACAGCGTGGATTTCCCAGCATCAAGCAATATGATCGAGTTCATGTCAAGATATATCTCCTCATCCCTGGATGTTGATTTGACTGCAATTGGAGGTCGCGTTGCTGATAGCCCTCTGACGGCTGAAGACAACGCGAAAGCTATGAACTTGGGGAGTCTCTGGGTCAAAGCAACTGCTGGTAGACAGGTCGCTCTCACTGATACGGGGTATATGTGCCTTGTCCCCGAATCTGTTGAGTGCCGTGACACCGTTTGTGTCTTTCTAGGGTCAAAAGTCCCATATGTAATAAGAAAGATGAAGACCGATCATAGCTGGCAGTTGGTAGGAGAAGGATATGTGCATGGAATTATGGACGGAAAGAGTATTACTAATTTATTACTTGAGGAGAATATGCTTGAATGGATAGAACTACAATAGAAGGACTTCATTGTATCACGAACCAGGCTTCCTAAACACATGCCCAACTACCAATGGAGCAGTTTCTCCCACAGCAGGCCTTCGCATACGCATGGTCCGGAAGATTTGTCAATGAACGCCCGCCGAATCCCAAGTATTGAAGGAATGGTGCTATGCCCTCATCTGCTGGGATTTGTAAAGCTTGTTCCTGATAATGTGGGGAAAAGCTCTCATATTTGAATCGCTTTCCATGAGATGTTTTTTGCCAATATAACAGATTGCAGACGGAGCTTCTTCGGCTCACGAGACCTTAGCCAATGGGATGAGTCGGGTCAGTATGGCTGCCTTAAAATCACCTCTAGTCTGTACTCCAGGGTGATGACAGGGTAAGTAGGCTAACGCCATAGATATGTTGCCTGTTTTTGAATGGCAAGCGAAACTAGTGAATAGTTACATCATCTCAGTTTCATAATTTGCCTTAGCTCTTACCAATGGCCGTTCCAAGATTTATCGGCATGAGCGGCATACGGAAAGGGTGACTTGCAGAGTGTTAAAACGACAGAAGCCTATGTTGTTACATTAGTTGAATCTTCACTTGGCTCTGATAGAGCAAAGTGGTGAAGAGTCTTTATGTTCTCCTTAATAAGTCTGATAGCTCTGTACGAAACTTTAAGTATATTCAGTTTGCCATGAAACGCTGCGTCTAAGGTAGGGCGCAAACTACCTCTAAGATAGCTTAGCCCACGATAAGACAAGATTTTGCGCGCGTAGCGTTTCGCCTATCCATGGGAATACGAGAAAAGTGACTTCAGTATTTTCTGCAATGAAACTTTTCCGGCGAAATTGCCCCTCTTTACAGTGCCACGCAGCACAGTAGCGAGAGTTCCTCACTAAATTCCATTTGTCCTTGAATTTGCTTTATGGACTGATACTGTAGCACTGGGACGATTTACGTAATGCTAAACAGGTCGACATGGGCAACTTCTGAGTTGTATGTGATTCTTGACAGAAGCAATAACTTCGTAACCGTTAAAACTCATACTATAAAAGATTGCTTGACCCTGGGCACGGCCTTAAAGGAGCCTCACCGGATCCCTACTGTAGAAGGAACAGTGTTTATTGGCACTTGTACGACAAGTATAATCGTATAAACATTGGAATTTACTGCGTGAATCGGGTTAATGTGGTCTAAGACAACGGTTATTAGATCTTACTGTGTCACTATTGTGTCCTGTTCAGACCCAACTGAAGTAGCAAAACTCCTAATACATAAATGCATTAAAAATAAACCTTATATAATTCACACTTAACGCACCGTCCAGCACACATTATTTGAAAGGCAACTCAAAGACATTAACAGAGTCGATTTGGCCGCATTTAAGGATGCTGAACCGTCTATCTGCTTGATCGCTACTACGCTAACCAGGGTTTATAGGTCACTGTACGTCATCCATGCATACTTGGCTTTGACGGGCTCAAGAAAAACGCACGTGCTAGAGCCCTGCGTTGGCAGGATGGCCTCTTTCAGCCTCGTAGCGCATGCCTGCGCTGTTGGTATCGCAGAGGCTGGGTCTTGCACAGACTGGAGATCTGCACTGGGTCTTGTCGTGACGACGATATGATGGTGGTGCAACAGTAGCTTGATAAATCTAGGGAGGTTGGCATTAATGGGGGCATTTAGATCCTACACTAGTTGCGCTGGGAACTCCCGTACCGGAGGAGTATACAATGCAGAATACCATTAGACAATATCAGTCCAAGACTGTTGACAAACTGCCGTATCTGGGGATGACAATTCCAGCCGACTCGACATAAGTCCACAACCTCCTGCTAAGAGATGAGATTTGAAGACTCGACTTGTTTCGAAACCTGTGTCTGGTCGTCGCTCATGCAATCCTGGCCGTATCTCTGAACCAAATCCCTCATAACATCAAGCACCCTACCAATATCGTGAGCAGCTGGAGTGACATTTACTAGCAGTACTTACTGTGTGCGAAGTGTCTCATTCTCAACAAATAACGCTGAAACATGTGTATCAAATCGTCGGTCTCGCCGTTAGTGTGAATTTGAGAGAAGTGGTCCTTGTTATGGGCTGCCTCACAGTCTATAGAGATCCAGACGACCTTCAAAGTCCTCCTCGGGTACTGATATCTGGACAAAGGTGTTGTATGCAGATATGTATTCATCTCCGAATCTATTGCAGGCAGGTCGCCACTGGCCGAACTCATCTTCGGTTCTTCGTGTTAGCCGACGTAGTCTTGGCAGGAGTTTGACAGCGCACCTACATTCATTATGCGCAAAGAAGCAGCACGCATCAAAGACTAGAGGCAGCCCAGTATCCACGTCAATTCCTGAGTTCGCATACCAGAGATCTCCGTGGACTAGCGAAGGCTTCACGGTTCGACCATCGCTCTCGAGGGGTCGCAGGAGCCTCGGGATCACTCTCTCAAACAGGGCTTGAGACAGTACTTCAAGTTCCTCACTCGGCCCCTTTCTCTCGATCTCGAAGTCAAGCGCCTGCCTCATGCTCTTGGTGAAGAACTTCTCCCAACTGTCCTCCCACTCGACGAATTGCGGCAGGTTGCCGGCGTACGTGGTGACGTGGAAGCCGAACTTGCCGGTCGGGGAGACGCTTTTCTGGTGCAGCGTGGAAAGGAGAGCCGCGAACTTATGGGGCTCGGGCATGTCTTCTATCATCTCGCGGAATTCGCAGAGGAAGAAGCAGGTGTCCGAGAGGCTCGTATACGCACCCCACGCGATGGGCGTCGGCACGAACTCGGGTACGACGTCGTGGGCGGCTCTCATCGACTCGAATTCGGCCATGACCATATTCCTGCCGCATTCTTTGGAGAGGACCTTCATAAAGAAGGACTGCTCCGACCAGTGCTGGCCCAAAAACTAACGCCATGGTGTTCTGTAGTCAACACCTGGCATCCTTCGGGAAGAACTTGTGACGCGGGTTGTCGTCAGCATTTCTCTAGCAGTCTCCTTGATTACCGCCATCGGCTGCCTACCCTTAAGCACACTGGGATCGACCTTGGCAGTGTCCCCTCCAAATTCGAGGCCGTTTGCACCTTCGTAATTCATTATCTATCACTACGAGGCAATATTGAAATTGCAGGCTTTTCGCGAAGGGGCCGAGTTAAAAAGTTCCATGACCGCGGAGAGCAAGGACACGAAGTCTGCTTCTCGCGAGGCTCCAATTGCTTTTGAATGAGAAAGGAGAGCTAATCACACAGAGCCACCGAAGTAAGCGCCACCGTAAGTCCAGCGCCAATTCATGGGTCTCCGAACCAGTCACATAGCGAATCACGAGAACGTGTTTATATATATATATTTAGCGCCGGGCGGTTCCAGCGGCCCGCTCCCGAACGGTCTTCCTACCGCCTGTTCCGGTTTGTTTCATCCTCTTCTTGGACTTCACGCCAACAAGTTCGGAATACATTGGCGAACCGTCACACTGGAATGGCAACATGAAACGAGCAGGTTAGGTAGTTGTGCGCAGGATTCTTTTCTCTTGCCGGCACGAAAGGCCCTCAGTGTCTACAAGACCACCACAATCTCACCTTTTCGCTCCGGGGGAAGACGAGGCGGGGGCCGTGCTTCAGTGGCCAGCCATGGAGACCTCCGTTATCTTTTCCTTCCAGTGGTCCACCGGAAACACGACCTTGACACCGTTGGCTTCGAGCCTTTGCTGTCCGTCGTTGTTGGCGATGAACGTCCCGGGCTCCTTTATCCCCACGTAGACGATCTTGATGGCGCCCTCGAGTCGCAGGATCCGAGTCACGCAGGTCATGTTACCGCTTAATCGCTCATTGCACGGCTCCATCGTAGTGTACAGCACCGTATTGGCGGGCAGGACTTCTCTGATGCGCTCCTCCGGGAGATTGTGTTTGTCGGCTATCTTGATGAAGCAGCACTGCTCAGCATGTGTTGTCCCAGGGTCTCCCTTGTAGTCCCGCGGATACTCCAGTGAGTATCCGGTCGACAGGACCTCGCCCTTGTCGGCGTCGACAAGTGCTGCCCCAACGCAGAATTTGTTGGAGGCCGGCGGGGACTTGCGCGCCTGCTCCAGCGCGTAGTCCATGAAGGCCTCGTGGTCGTCCACGGCGAAGGTTGGATGGCCGGACTGGGATTCCATATGGTAGCTGGATGGCCTGCCGAACTCTAAAGGCTTCCGCCGGTTCGTTTTGCAAAGAGATCGACGCAGCGACAGAGGTGGATGAGGTGATGTAGAGACCGTCTGCAAGCCAAAGCACTGCGGAGCACGAATTTAGGGATGCGGGCGTCCTTCCAGCTTGACTCCAAATCGGCCGACAGCGGTGGGCTATTGGAGCGCATACAGAATGTAAGGTAGGTAATTACCTACCTACCTAGGTAGTCGGATAGCCCGTACAGGTACCTGGATACAACCAATTGCCTGTTTTGCCTCTTGACACGAGGAGAGAGAGGTGGTGTCAGGGGTCCTAGCCCTGCAGGAGGGCGGGACGGGCCTAGCTCTTCGCTTGCTTGCAGGTCCCCTACGTATCTACTTAGATAGTCAGGTAGTGGGAGAGTCGTCATGCATCGCCAACATTCCCATCCGTTCTCATCCTACCAGACGATGGACAGCTCATCCTCTTCTCCGGACGAGTGTCTTGGTCGATGATGACAGGAATGGGAAACTGAAGGCCAAACATTACCAACCGAGCTTTCGGTCCAGCCCGCATCTCCAGAGATCCTGCGGGGGTCTTCGGCAAAATGGTGTGTGTGGTATCTAGGCACTGTGCTATGCGGTAGTCTACTGTACCAACTTCTGTTCCATCTGTCCTGACATTCGGTGTCCTTTACTGATTATGAGACCGTCCGCAGTTCCTTCGGAAAAACCGGCGCTTAGAGTCCGACATATCCTCAGACGATGCTTCAATTGACCGAATCTCGACAGCGGGATCGACGAGCTCATCTACGCATGTAACATCCCGCAGCAGGAATTCTGCAGCCGTGGACGATGGCGGGGGGAATCCGAAGGGCCCGCTCGGCTTGACCCTGTTACACTCTCCGTCAAAGCCCCAGATCGATTTTATATTTGTTCATGGCTTGGGGGGCGGCTCAAGGAAGACATGGAGCAAAACCGCGCTGCTGTCCCACTACTGGCCACAGGAATGGTTGCCGAAGGACCCAGCGTTCAAGAACGTGCGAATTCATACTTACGGATATGACTCGGACTACCTGAAAGGCAAGGATGACTGCCTGAACATTCATCACATTGGTAAAGCATTCCTGGGAGAGATCAGCACGTCGCCTCATCTTGCTGGCTCCCGAACGCACATCGTGGCCATTGGACATAGCATGGGAGGCCTGGTCATAAAGAAGGCATACATATTGGCTAAGCAGGAAGCTGCCCACAATACCCTAGCGAGTCGGATCGCCGCTATCTATTTCCTAGCCACGCCGCATCGCGGTGCCGACTCTGCCAAGACGTTGAAAAGTCTTCTCAGAGTTGTCTACGACCGCGCTTACGTTGGCGATCTCGAGCGGAATTCGGGTGCCATCCAGGTCATTAACGATGAATTCCGGCATGTTTCGAAACCGCTCGAGCTTTGGTCCTTTTATGAAACTCAGACCATGAACTTATTCGGCTCCACAATCGTGGATCCCGAGTCCGCGGTCCTAGGGTATAGTGAGGAGAAGCAGATGCCAATGAATGCTGATCACCGTTCAATATGCAAGTTCGAGACCCAGTTCGATGCCAACTATATCATTTTGCGGAACGCCCTTGCTTCAACCGTGACCATGATCACCGAAACGATTCCAGGTCTGGAGCTCAAGGAAAACCGTAATCAGATCAAGGACGTCAGAAAGTATCTGGGGATCTCAGAAGCTCCTGATGATGACTTACTCACTGTGAATGCGACTCGACTAGCGGGATCGTGCCACTGGCTCGCCACCATGGAGAACTATGTAGCTTGGAGGGACGGTCGATCGAAAGACAACAAGATACTTTGGATCAATGGTAAACCGGCGGTTGGTAAATCTGTCCTTGCTGGTTATGTCATTGAAACCCTCCAGGAATCCGGACAACCGTGCAGCTACTTCTTCTTCAAGCACGGCCACCAATCGAAGTCAAGCTTGAGCGTCTGCCTTCGGTCCTTGGCGTTCCAGATGGCCAGCACGAATGCCGAAGCACGCAACACCATTCTAGGGCTGGAGGCTGATGATGTTCGATTGGAACATGCTGATGCGCGAACTCTGTGGAGAATGCTATTTTTGCATGGAATTTTCCAGTCACACATGTCCCCCAGTTATTGGATCATCGATGCACTAGACGAATGCTCGAACCCTTCCGTTCTATTTGATTTTATCTTCTCCAAGATGGACGATTCGGTGCCCTTGAGGATCCTTGTCACTAGTCGCAATACGGGCTACTTAGACCAGTGTTTCGCAAGACTCCAACCCAACAAGATAGATTCACTATCCGTAACGGTCGCAGACACGCTGCCAGATATCAAACGCGTAGTTGAAAACAGGATCGAGACCTTGACCATCGTCGGGGAAAAGGATCAAATACTGCTAACGGAGACAATCTTGAGCAAATCCAGAGGCTCGTTTCTGTGGACGATCTTGGTTCTTGAAGAAATTATGCGCTGTTACAGCAAGAAAGAAATTGACCAAGTCTTGGAAGACATACCAAAAGGCATGGCAGCTTTGTACCAGCGAACCCTGCACCAAATGTCGCAAGTTACGCGTGGGAAAGAACTTGCCAAGGCCATTCTCTTATGGACGCTATATTCAACTAGGCCCATGACCATCGCTGAGCTCAGCTGCGCTCTGAAATTGGACCTTGATGACACCTTCCCAAAGTTAAAGGAAAGCATCACAGCTCTGTGTGGACAGCTGGTAAACGTGGACAAGCTTGGGAGGGTTCAGATGGTACATGAAACTGCAAGGGAATTCCTCTTGGATGCAAGCCTTGAGTCAGAATTTGCCGTCGACAAACTCCGCGCACATACACAAATAGCGAGGATATGCCTTGATTATCTCACCGGCGAGGAAATGAAACCTCCAAGAGCCAAACGGCGCACTACGGCTACAAGACGAGCAGACTTTGCCGACTACGCATGCACTGCATATTCCTATCATCTTGCCCGAGCTGATCCATTGAACACAGATCTGTTCCACAGCCTAATACAATTCCTGAAGTCAAACATTCTTACCTGGATCGAGATAATCGCTACTTCTCACAATCTCCACCAACTCATACATACCTCCAAGCATCTCAAAACTTATGCCGATGTGTGTTCGGTTGAACGGTCGCCTCTGGATCCTAGGATGCAAGTGCTTCAGCAGTGGACGGTGGACCTTGCTCGGATTGCTGCGAAGTTCGCAACCGCGCTCAGCGCGTCTCCATCCGCGATATACTGGCTGATCCCCCCCTTTTGTCCGTCCAGCTCCATGATATCCCGCATTAACAATCAAGGTCGAAGACTTACGGTTCTCGGTGGCATAAGTGAGCAGTGGGATGATAGATTATTATGTCTCAGTCCCCAGGAAGGCCAACCAAGTGCCTTATGCTATGGAGATGAACACCTAGCCATAGGTTTCATGGCAGGAACTGTTATGTTGTACTCCGCTACATCCTACCAAGAGCACAAAACCCTCGATCACGGGGAAGCCGTCAAACTTATCAGATTTGGTAGCTACTCTGATCGTGTGGCGACCTGTGGTATGAAAACGATAAAGGTGTGGGACACCAAAAGCGGTGATGAGCTATTCAAGTTTGGGACCTCTCAACGCCCGCTCGACATGGTTCTTGGAAAAACCAAACTCATGATTGCAAGCCACAAGAACTATATATCCAACTGGCTGCTGGGAAAAGACGCCATCCTAGATAGCGAATTGCCGTGGAGCGATTCACCGGAGCCGAATATTACCCCCTTACGTCGGGTCCCGTGTGCGCTTACGATATCTCTTGCCCATCAGCTCCTTGCCGTGGCATACAGTGGACGACCTATCACACTGTGGGACTTGGAAGAGAATGCATACTTCGGCAGCTGTGGGAAGAAGTTGTCCAACGGCGAGACAAGCACCCATGTTGTCGTCGCCCTCGCATTCAATCCCAACTCAAGTGTGGGATTGCTCGCTGCGGCATACCTTGATGGTGATCTCGCCCTTATTGACCCTTTTTCCGATGAGCAGCTAGAATGCTTCCGTGCCAACTGCCAGACCCTCTCTCCAAGTCCAAATGGCCGCTTGCTCGCTGCGGGAGCTGCAGATGGAGTCATTCATATCTATGAGTTCCATACATTGAAGCTATTGTATAGAGTGACATCGGCCAAGTCCTACATCAGACAGCTTAGTTTTTCCAGGGACAGTCTACGCTTTGCGGACATCCGCGGCTCGCAGTGTACCGTCTGGGAACCCGCAACAGGGTTGCGGGATACTCTGAGCGACGATAGCAGCGGCACAACCTCGGCTTCGATTGTGGACGTCGTTGCTTTGGATGCGCAAGTCAAAATCACCGCAATGAAGATGCATCCTGGCGAGGAAGTGGTCTTTTGTGGGAGAGACGACGGAGCGATCCTTTTGTACACTCGCCGTACGGCATCGTGTGCACGCATGCTCTACAGTCACAAGTCGTCAATACGGCTTCTCCAATGGTATTCCGAGAGGGAAGCGCTCCTTAGTGTCGATTCCTCCAACAGGATCTTTCTCCGCAGGGTCCAGAAGTCGCCTACCGGAGAATGGCTTGCTGACTCTGACATGCTTTTCCAATACCATCTTGAATCTGATCTTGCCATTGTCGATGTTCTTATAGGAGGCGAGGTTGGCAAGTTCATCGTGTCGACCCGAGACTCAGACTATCGTTTCACCTTGGATGGCAATGAAGAGATCAAACGAGAACATAAGGGCAAGTCGGGCATTCACAAATGGACTCCCCACCCAATGTCGCCGCTACACGCCATGTGCATTCATCACAATCAAATCCAAATCTACTGCTGGGAGAACTGGTCGCAGGTCCAGACTATTTCGTTATCCGTAGACAACGAAATGAGTCACTTCAAAAGCTTACATGCCTATTCTGTAGGCCAAGACCATCAGATACTACTAGAGCTCTCGAGCCAAGATGGATCAACTAAGACTAAAGGCCTTGTCGTTCTGGAAGCAACCTTTGTCGCTTTGAATATTAATGACGGCGTGTATAAGAAGGGTGGAGTTCATAGTGTAACAGCAGCGCAGGATATCAGTGAGGCAAGGAGAAAAAGTGGCACAGCATCGCTTGCCATCTCTCTGCCAGTGTTGGGCAATCAACCTACAATCTTGGCACGATATATCTCGCATGTAATTGGAGTTAACACACAAAGGAGACTCGTCTTTATTGACCACTCTTCTTGGGTATGCTCTTGTGATCTCAGAGCGGGCGAACTCCGTGCCAAGAACGACCGATCGCCGTCTTACATCGAGTATTTCAGGCATTTCTTTATTCCGTACGACTGCTTTGCAGGAATGAGAGGCATTGTCTGCGCCTTGGCGCAGGAAGATGTGTTATTCGCCCGGGGCGGCGAGTTGATGGTCATTCGGGGTTATTCCAAGCACATTGAGAAAATAATTGTGGAAGAGAAATGATCTCAGTGGTACATATCAGTGGTACTAGTCTTTATAACATGCTTATTCTCAACTGGTGAAATCTCATTTTATCACCCAGATCACCCAGAGAGCCCCAGGCTCACCCAAAACAGCTAAAGTTGCACTTGAGGAGGTCGGTACCGATTTTACGTACTTCAAGCAGGCGGACGTCTCTGCTAGGATCTATTCTAGGATATGGAAAATTGACATTCCACTGATGATCCATGGGTGCTTGTGGTTGCTTGACCGGCTTGCGATGCTTCAACTGATGCCTGAGCTTCGGCCAAAAGCCGTGCGGCGATTTGGATGATGACGAGCTCATACGGCGGCAGTGCGGTAGGCAAACAGAGAACTTGCGAATATGAAGCCGCGCGGGCAATAAAAATAATATATGAAGTTATATTTCCTACTGTATCAACGGCCCAAGAGCATGAGGCTGCGTTATCTCGGCTTCCAAGATCGAAGGTCAGGCTGCAGTTGTTTGGGCCTGAGGACGAGAACAAGCCGACTGGCTTGAGTTAGCCGCGCTCACGGGGGAAGATGGCTTGGTGGCTTTGGTTGTAGAGCATTCTGACTCTGCATATACATAATGGTTATAGCTTGTCTCAATTTTGACAATCTGGCAAATAGAATGCAAATGTCTCGTCAACTTGCTTGAGCGTATTATACGCCAAATACTATCAAGCACCAACTCCACTTATTCTGTATACAATATGGGCTTGGACCTTGACTGACTCGCTCCTTAGATTGACTAGGGAGGAAGGGTAACCTGGAAGGATTGGGTGCAAACTCTCTGGCATGATTGGTCGAGTGCGTCACTGGAGATGAAGCATGGTAGAACAATGGTTTTGAGGGCGAGAATGTCGCACCTGGGCATTCTTATTCGTGATGGGAAGCCAAGTCACTGGCTATGTGTTTCTACTTCTATCATGAAGCACCGCTTTGGCCTAAAGGCTATTCAAGATGATTAATACGATACTCATCATAGAATTAGGGCTTTTGTGACGTTAGACCATGGGGAATGCCTGCATCGCCGGCGGCCAGCAAACTCAATGCAAACGGAATGCTAAGGAGAAAAGTGTTTGACAGGCTTTCCAAAGTAAAAAAATACTTTGACGATTAACTTTTGCGGGGTGTCTCGGAGCAATTGAGGCTTGAGCCCCTCATCATGCTTCATCTGGATAGTGGCTCGCCGATTCAGGGCAAGGCCTCGGCCATAGTATCGCATCACGAGGCAGGAGCTCCGTGCAGCATGATGCACAGATCCTATTGTTAAGCCTTTCTCACGCATCTGATGCTCATGATTTGGCTGCTTATCAAAATAGGAATCTCCAGAATCTAATGAAGATGGTGATTATAGCAATTGATACTCGGAGGAGATGAAGCTCGTTCTTGCCGTATTCCGCTCTCTCCAAAGCTCTGAACCCTAAGGTGGAAGGCACGAAATGTCGAAAATTAATTTTTGGGTCCAGGGAGCCAAATTCGTGTTGGTAAATTGTTAAGCGAAGCCGCGGCGTGAGATCCGGCAGAAAACCTAAGGCAAAGGAGAGAAGGGGAAAGAGAAAGAGGAGCTGCGCTATACCGTTAGTTTCTAGTGGTTGCTAAGGTACTGTGCAGTGCTGCACCTACGGCAGCAGGGTAGGTGGCACCCCTCCTCCTCTTGAATGCTTGCAGCTGTCCTACAGGCTACAGGCTACAGCATGGTGAGGTAAGGTGCTAAGGTTAGGTAGTGTGTGTGGCCCGTGCCAGCTGATGCTCTGTGTGCGTGCCTGTGTGGGTGTGTGAAGGGTTCCAAATCCGTCAGTTGGACCCAAATATCCTCAACCTCGCAAACCAGCGACCTTCCCCCAAAACCAATCCCCGACGATTCTACCAAAGCGAAGAGGACGTGTCCACCCCAGGCATATCTTCCTCCTCCCTTTTTCCATCCTCCTCATCTTGGACTATTTTGGCGCCCCTGAACTCACGCCTTCCTGAAAGGCGAACAGCCAGGCGACAAGATGTCGGTCGCCTCAAAGGTATGTGTCAAATTTTATGCGAAACCCCGTCGTCACAAAAGCTCTTTTCCCGCTCCCCGGAACAGCCACGCTGGCTGCTCGACGCCATCGTCACCCGGCCGCCCTCGGTCCAATCCGTCCTCATTGCATTATTTCAAATGTTCTCGTCATGATATTGCGGGCACAAAGCTGACTCACTTGGATTGCAGAACCTTTTTGCCCTCCTCGGTAATTGCTCCTCGGCCGATTGAGAAGAGCTCTGCTCTCTCTGCTTTTGCGGTTCCTGAACAATGTATTGACGAGTACTGTGTCTATAGGCAACGATGAGGGAGATGACACTCCCGCCGCGCCGGTGAAGACCGTGGACAAGACATCTACCCACACCGTCAAGCGCAACACCGATGGCGCGGCCCCGGCTGCTAAGACTGCTGCTCCGGCTACCGGTGGCCGTCGAGGCGGTGCCTACTCTGGCAACGAAGCTGGTATGTTTGGGACTCGGCCGGGATCTTCCATCAAATGCCTTTTGGGGGAAGATATTCAGCTGGCACTCCTTTGCGCATCAGTATCTAAGCTAACGATTCTTGAACAGCTTTCCGGGATCGCCAGGCCGGCAGTGACCGCAACCGTGGCAAGTCCACTGACGATGCCCCTCGCGGAGGACCCCGAGGTGGCCGCGGAGCTCGCGGCCGTGGAGGTACGTTTAATTATGGTGAAGGGATGAGGCTTGTCTATCATTGTCTAACCTTTCGTCATTAGGTCGTGGCGGTGGATACAGCCGTGACCGCGATGACCGGCATACTAAGGGCCCGGCCAGGTGAGTTTATCTCAATCCTTCAGCAGTCTCTCATCAATCCCACTGACCAATGTTGTAGCGGCTCCGACAAGCAGGCTGCCCAGTCATGGGGTGCTACTGAAGGCGATGCCGAGCTAAAGGATGAGCAAGCCGGAGAGGAGATCGCCAAGACCGAGCAGAAGGATGCTGCCGCCGAGGGTGATGCGGATGAGACCCCCGCCGAGCCCGAGGAGAAGCACATCTCCTATGCTGACTACCTCGCCCAGCTGGCCGAGAAGAAGCTGGCCCTGTCCGGCGATCTTGCTCCTCGCAAGGCCAACGAGGGCTCCAAGTCCGACAAGAAGTGGGCCGACGCGAAGCCTCTCGTCAAGGATGAGGATGATGACTTCATTGCCGGCTCCTCAGGCAAGGCCAAGCGCGAGCGCGAGCGCAAGACCAAGCAGTTCGTCGAGATCGAGAACCGCTTCATCGAGTCCGAGCGTCCTCGTGGCGGTCGTGGAGGCCGCGGCGGCGGTGCCGGCCGAGGTGGTGAGCGTGGTGACCGTCGTGGAGGCGACCGTGGTGGTCGTGGCCGCGGTGGTGGTGACCGTGGCGAGTTCCGCGGTGGCCGAGGTGGTCGCGATAACACCGCCATCAACACCAAGGACACCAGCGCTTTCCCCAGCCTGGGTGCATAAACTCGCACCCCTCATCATCTGACCCGACTTGACGGTTGGCATACTATTCAACAGTATAAGCCAAACTCGTCCATGGTGTGTCTCGGGTATAAACCATGGTGGTAGTAATTGCTGAAGTTAAAATGGATTATATTTGGGTTTGATAGTTTAGGAGAGGAAAGAGTGTGTTCCTGTCCCTCTCGGACTCTTCGAGTACGCCTCATACAGATCCTAGGTATCTCTGCTGGCCTGCTATCTCATGGTTGGCAAGCCCAAAAAGCACAAAACGGTTGTTTTCGATCTTCTTTCCTAGAAAAAAAAAAATTGGTCTCATATCTCTCAAAAGAAATGTGGTCTCTTTTCCTCTTTGACCTTGTTTTTTTCCCGAGCATGGTGGGGAAAATGAAATGGCATGGCTGCGAGGGGAGCACAAGGGCTCTGGGCTTTTCTCCATGGTGGCCATCTTCTCTGACTACAAGTTCTTGTACTGCTAGAAAAACTCGGTTGATTTTGATCTTTTTACTTTACTGCTTCGAGCCTGTCGGCTCTTGATCGCTATGTGATATGACGCCGTGATCTACAGATTCCAGGGGCTGTGGATGTATCCAATCCTGCCTTGACTTATCCCGGTACAAATATTGCTGGATACTCTCAGCAGAATTCTAAGATGGGTTGATTGTAAGTGTCTTACTCCCCAAGGCAATCATTCTTGTTCATTGTAGTTCAATTCAGCTCCTTTGTCACCTTGTCTACCCCTGACCAACTTGGCGGCCGAGTATGTTCAAAGCCAAAACCAGCTCCGAGGACGTACAACAAAGGGATGGAACTCCTCACATATCAAGACAAAGCCATTGTGATTTGATTTCTAATTGTCTAGGTGTCGAGATGAGTATATAATATAGACAAGTCGGGTTCTAGCTCTTGAGTTTTCATAGCATGCCTTCTGTCCACCGACAGACGAATCTCAGTGTTCAACTCTTTGCAACTTTACTGAGGGGCCATTCGCTGTCCTATAGACGAAATTTTACCTCCTTCGCGGTCGAAGCACTACTCAGAAGATAGCCAGCGCTTTATTATAGCAGAGTAACCCGTCTACAATGGGCTCGTCATTGTCGACAATGAACCCACTCTGCGAGGCCTGCTTGGAGGCAAGACTAACAGCCAGTGAGACTTGGGAGACATCGCGTCGACGGCCTGACTGTTTCGAACAGACCTGTCTCGTTCACATATGCGGGCTGGTGCGGGAGGAGCAGGCTTACAGCCTCGTTCCCATGCGTCCGCAAGTCTCTGCCGAGCGTCGGATGGAGGAAGGTAGGTACTTCCCCGAGGACGACTTGCAACACAACGATAGCGCCCAGGGCGCACAGGACCTGACCGACAAGCCGTGGCTGTGGCCTGTGGCCGAGGTCCTCTTCGATGCTGACGACTATTTGGAAGCCGAGCCTGCCTCGCCGCAAGACGAGCGTGACGAGGATGGGCCTTTGGAGAACGAAGAGCAGGTGGTGATGGACCCCTACATCGACGAGATTGCGTCCCATGCAGATCACGACGAATCGCCCTCATCGGACTTGCCACTACTTGACATTGACTATCTGGGGTATCAGGAGATCGAGCCAATGTCCATGGGACCGGCTCCTGACGGTGAGGAGGCGGCGGCGACTTCGCGCCGCTTCATCAACGCACAAGACTCCAGTGTCATTTGATGATAATCACCCGGTTCATTTTAGTGTTTCTAAGTCTCAGGTAGGTCAATTGAGAAATCTCATCTATTCGTAATCAACGTGGGAGATAAACGCCCCAAATTCATACGCTTGCTTGCTGCTACATTCTGGTTGCCCTTGAAAATGGTTCTTTTTATGTCTTTTTTTTTCTTCATCTCCGATATTAAGCCCTTTCCTTTCCTTTCCTGTCCCATCCCTACCTATTCACCTATCGTGACTTTTCGTAGCCGTGCGGACTACATTTGTGATATCTATGAAAAGACTGGCAGCCAGCAAGATGCCGTTGAAGATGGCCATCAGGTAGAACGGCGCCCCTTGCGTCCACTTGTCGAACAGGTAGCCGCCCAGCTTGGTGAGCAGCAGGATGGCGGCAGCGCCGCACCACGAATACACGCCGGCGATGGTCCCCTTCAGCTGGGCTCGCGTTGCGGTGGCCGGCAGCGGCGTGCCGTTCTCTAGTAAAGGAGCATCTTCGGCATCTGCCACTACCTCGCCCTCGTCTGTCTGGATGCGAATCTGGGGCCCCTTGGGCAGATCTGCGGTCAACACGCCGCGACCGAGAGATCCTAGGCTGCAGACGATGGCACCGATTTGGCTGATGCCGATGAGGGCCACAATCAGGAATACTGAGGGTGACCCGCCGCGGCCCTGGATGTCTTTGTACTCTGGAGTTGGGAGATTGGGGAATGCTATGTAGCCAATGATTCCCAGTGAGGTGGCAACGATAATAGGGATGTTGTAGCGACCCCTTCTCGCCGACATGTATCCAAAGATAGGAGCGCAAAACAGAGCCAGTAGTTGAGCCACCCCCGTGAGGATCGAGGCGAGGACATATGCCTGTCTGCCGGGAGACTTCCCGTTCTCGACGGCCTTATGATGATAGAATTGATTTATGAATAGGGGGATGAAGGCTGAGATCGCTACTGTAGACGCCCGAGCGACGAAGCCGCCCAGGTAGCCAAGAGCAATCTGAGAATCAGAGAAGCCGAGTCGAACGGCGTCTTTCAGGAGTTGCTTGTATGGGAGGAACTTCGGCTTCGGTTTGGGGCCGGTTCCATCCTCATTCGCGCCATTGCTCAATGTTTCATATTTCTTAAGGCCCAAGAAGCCCCGGAGACTCTTCCCGTCCTCTCCTTTGATCTTCCGGAGCCCGATATAGACGAACGCGGCAACGACGATGGCAATAGCGCCCACGGTATAGTAGGCGTACATAACCGCCTCGCCCAAGTCAACGCCCTCGATCTTGTTGAACTGGGCCGGCAGCGGCAGAAAGCACACGAGAGACACAAGGGCACCGCACCCCGTGAAGAGCCCTACGTAACCCGCCAGGGCGTTCGGCTTCCCTGCCTTCTTGTCCGCAGCTCCGTAGCCGGGAAGGCTGTTGTTAGATTGTAGTCGGACGAAGCGCTCTGGGGTGATGGTGAGTTCCGACTCGACCGAAGCGAGACTGTAGCGAGCAGGGTTTGCAGCTTGGGCTGTCCGCGACTCGTCTTCGGTATCGTCGGAAGGAGTGGAATCGTCAGTGAGGGAAGGGAGGATCGCAGTGACCATGGTAGCCCTATAAATGTCAGTCTGAGCGCGATCCATTGTGGTCGTCAATAGCTACTTACGCGGCTGTAGCTCCGATGGCGAAGAAGATTCTCGCCAGGAGAAGCTGCGGATAGACATTCTTTGCCTGCACAAACAGGAACAGAGCTATGCCAATGACGCCGTACCCGATCATGGCGACGAAGCGCACGCCCATGCGGTCCGAGACCAGGCCCCAGACGGGACAGGCCACGAGAGCCACGAGCTCATCCACGAAGCCCAGGGTGCCGACGATATCGCCGACGCCATCTTTGACGCCGATTAGATCTGTGATGACGAAGGATATGCTGCTGTTAAGGAAGACGAGGAACGCGATAGAGAAGAGCGAGATGCCGAGCAGATAGGTGACGGCCTGCAACGGCGTGGTCGAATCGGCGAATGGGAGGTATCTCATGAATCTGGCCATGATGATGGATGGATTTGCCGTATCTTATGGAAGTGTCATGAAAAAAAGTGGCAAAGAAGGACGAGGTTATCACATCTCGCAGCGAGCCAGTAACTTATCAAAGCACCAACCGATACCTGATGGTGGTGTAGATAGATATACGAACAACTCACTCCCTTGCATTCCGGACTTACATGGCTCAGGTACAGCATAAGACCACCTCAAACCAGCGCGACGCGGCAGTTAACCTAGCTGGACCATTGCCTTAGTCAGCGGAGCTTAGGCCCCGCAACCCATCTGAAGAGCCCTGGATAGAGGTGGGATAAGGCCCCAGCCAGCGTATCTTATCACCGAAATCGGCCCAGAATAATTTCTAGAAGCTGTTGTGTGTGACAAGGTACAGGCACCTTACACCGCTCGAGTACGAAGTGAGCTCGACGTCTCTCGGCCCCATTGACGACAGAGGGAGCTTGCGAGGACTGCGCAACAGGCTACAGGCACTGCCCGCCAATTGTTCAGAGCTTCGCGGGTACTGGTCTTGCAGCTCTCTTGCGCACGCCTTTCCCCTCCCCAAACCACGCGAGCTCTGAGGAGTCACCGATAAGATGTCTGCCTCTCTACCTGGCAATCGGGAGCTGCCCGACTCTCAGTATGATCTGAGCACATACTGGGGACGGGTCAGACAGACAGCGGGCATTACGGATCCGAGGTAAGCATAAGAATATGGGAGCAGTTGCGTCACAGGGTATAGATATCAGGATGCTACCCGATCAGTTGGACCGCGGTGCGCGCAGCTATTGGAGATTTCCTTAAAGGGCAACATGATTGGAATATTGCTAATTGACCTATGTGTTGCAACATCTGGGCCGTTCTTGATCTCGAATAGCAGTATGCTGATTACGTTTCGCATCATAGGACATTGCTCGTGGGCAAGACGGGTCTGGAACAAGCCAAGAAAGCCCTGGTCTCGTACAAGCTGGGAGAGACGAAAGAGATGACACCCGAGCTATGGAAGGCGAAGAAGATTGTGGACGCAACATTACATCCTGGTATGGGCTTTTCAGGAGGGGACTGGGATTGGTAGGGGCAATGACTTACCATATGTTACAGATACGGGCGAACCGGTGCTCCTACCTTTCCGCATGTCATGCTTCGTCCTATCTAACTTGGTTGTGACGGCCGGCATGTTGACGCCTGGTCTTGGGGTAGGTCTCTATCCCTCTTTGCGCTCTATGCTCTGCTGACTTGGGCTCTGAAGACTACGGGCACCATTCTCTGGCAGGTCGCTAACCAGTCGCTCAACGTGGCCATCAACAACGCCAACGCGAACAAGTCGTCGCCCCTATCATGGGAAAAGATTGCCAAGTCCTACTTCCTCGCCGTCGGCGCCTCCTGCACCGTCGCAGTCGGCCTGAACTCCCTCGTCCCCCGCCTCAAGAGCCTCTCGCCCTCCACGAAGCTCATCATGACCCGCCTCGTGCCCTTCGCGGCCGTCGCCTCGGCCGGCGCGCTGAACGTGTTCCTGATGCGCGGCGAGGAGATGCGCACGGGCATCGACGTGTTCCCGGTGCTCGGCGAGGCGGACAAGCGCAAGCTGGCGGCCGAGGGCCGCCCCGAGTCGGACGTGCCGAGCCTGGGCAAGAGCAAGAAGGCGGCGACGCTGGCGGTGGCCGAGACGGCGCTGAGCCGCGTGCTCAACAGCAGCCCGATCATGGTGATCCCGCCCCTGATCCTCGTGCGCCTGCAGCGCACCGAGTGGCTCAAGCGCAACCCGCGCTACACGCTGCCGCTGAACCTGGGCCTCATCCTCGCGACCAGCTACGCCGTCCTGCCGCTGGCGCTGGCGGCGTTCCCGCAGCGGCAGAGCGTCAGCGCCGAGAGCCTCGAGGAGGAGTTCCACGGCCGGGGAGGCGCGGGCGGCTTGGTCGTCTTCAATAGGGGTATCTGACCCGTGTTCGGGGGTCTAGGATCTGAGACGTTGCACATATATACCAAAACGGTTTACCTAAGATATGGTGGGTGATTTCCCGAGGCGTTCTCTAGCCAAACATGATAGAGATATGGAGTTCTTCAAAAAGCAATCCGTTGCGTCTGGCGTTTAAAGTCACAGGAATAATAAGAATTACATGGCTGGGGACTTCGTCTTGCTACTTGACTTTTGTAATGCTTGTTTGTTGGACCGTTGGGGAAGGAGGATGATCTACAAGCCGACCGATGATCATCCCCACAAGCAGAGACAGCAGAAGGAGCAGGCTGTCTATTCTGGGAAAACCCGGTTGCGATCGAGTCGGCAGGCTTTAGGGTGAGAAAGAGGAGTGTCGTCGGGGAGTGTTTCAAACCGGATCCGCGGTGCTGGCAGAATAGTTGTTGCCCCTAAGAGAATTCGAGAAAGTTTGCGTCTAGGGTTTCCACTTCTACTGCAATTGAAGACGATCTGATGCCATGCAAGATTCACTCGAGTACAGAGTAGGAGCAGATGGGATGAGACCGGCATCTCCTGGCACCCTGGCTCCTGCATGGGGTAGATGCACGGTCTCTCAGACGTATTCTGGGGCTTCGGATGTTTGATCAAGCAGGGAAGATAGGCATTTTGTGTTGAAACATATCAGGACTCCCTTTTCCAGTAAACCACGGTTACAGCTCCTTTCAAGGGGCAGCATTCTCCTTTTCCGGCAGTCCTTCGTTGCATGAGCTACCGGTAGAGCGACCAGTATTAGGGGCCTATCGTTTCTAGGCGTGTGTTGGATCGCTATTTCAAGAGGACGGCTTGAGACATGAAAGCCAGCCGAGGTCTTTGAAGAGCCAGCACACCAGCACAGACTAGTATGCATCGTGGTTGAATACGAATGGAGGGATGAGCTAGCAAAGGTGAATGGACGAATGTCAGCAATTCACAGCCTTCGATCAGCGGGCTGTGATAGAGGCCCAAGTCAGGGGTCCTTCTGACGTAGTAATCAATGTATTATCTGTGGAGGTCGGTTTGCTGCTTCTTCAGCCCTCGACGAGACAGGCTGGCGAGGCAGCGTTGGGTGTCATCATGTCTTGGGTGCACAGCATCATTCCGTCACAAGGCAATGAGATTGGGAAGAAATAGGGTAAAGGGGGTGCCGTCAGAAGTAACACCGTGATACAACACGACGGAAGTGGTTATTACCACTCGCTATGGGGGATCAGCGGGGTGCGATGCTGGGTAGGCTACCAGTAGCTAGAATGGGCGGAAAGACAATGATGACGAGAACTCGCCAATGGACGATAGACATGAAAGAGGGGCGTCTCTTAAATAGTCTCACTTTGAGGCGCTCCAAGGTGAACCTGGACAAAGGTAGACGGTATGAAGGCAAATCCGGCTGACTGTCACCCCTTCCTTGGGGAATAAGACAGAGATAGCCTAGCAGTGCTATGTTGGAAGCGTTAATTTGTTACTTCATCTTAGAACCTGGAATCTTTGTAGGCAAAACACATCGTGGGTTCTCAAGTATGAATGGGTGACCAGCGATCCGCCTATACTTTTCTTCCTTCATCAAACTCCGAGCAAGAAATACGGCTCGAACAACAAGACAGCGCGAGGTCGACGCAAGTCTATATATCGCGGACGCCTTACTAGTTTGGAGAAATTTCGCTTCGAGGCCTGTAGGGCAACAAGGCGACCAACTGGGATCAAAGTGTTTGATCGTTCCTTCGGGTGGCCAGCAGCAATACTCGAGCCTATTATGCATTCTGATGTAGGCAATCATTACGGGTCAATAATTCCTTAGGCGCTCTTCAGCCGGCTCCAGTAAACTCCGTTGCAGACAAATAGCTGGACAGCGGCGCGTCTTGTAATTCGAGAACCGGGGACACGACGATCCGCGTGTTCTAATACGGGATCCAAGCTCGGCAGGCTCTTCCATATCATATATGTAACTTACGCTGTATGAATGGAGTCTTGTCTTGCTCGCCACTCTCGGAAATTGTAATGCTGCCAACCGAGTCAGACTCGAAAGAATTTCGAGAAACGGTTGAGATGTTCCCATCGATCATCTCAAGCGCGGGGCCCTTGTTTCGGGAAACGCCAAACCATAGAGAGACCGGGTGCCCAGTCGTCGACGCTACTGCAAGCACTGCATGTCCCCAAGAAGCGGCGGTCGCGATTCGCGCAAGCCACATGCACACACCGTGAGGGCGCCAGTACGGTTTCTTACTCGCCGGCTGTTGGTTGCAGAATTGTGCGGTAGGTGATTTGAATGCTGCGTGCTTGCTTGCCTGTTGCTGGCGTGCGTTTATGTAGCCCTGTACCGTATGCACGTAGTTCATGGCCTGCAGCCTGAGGGCTAAGGGAACTTTTGGAATGGAATGTGAGAAAGAGGCACTCAAGACACTGAGTGAGTAGTCGCGCCTCGTTGTTTGCTTAATCAACCCGCATCTTGCCTCATCACTCTCCTCCCTGCCCGGCTCCCTGCCTGCCTGCCTGCCCGGTGGGCAAACATTCAGTTGCAGCGGTGATGGGCCTTTTGGTCGCTGGCCAACCAGGTTGACAGGCGGGGTTGAAATTTGGCCACCACCATGACAGCTCTCACTTTTCTTCCTCATTGCTGCAGTAGTAGGCTCGTAGGTATGTTCGGTACTTTACAGTTGCTATGCCACCTCACCTGGGATTTCCCATCTATTGGCACGCCGTCTGGCGGTTTTGGTAATGGAGGGGCAGGGGTCTAGACGCTAGGAACGGGCACACCTCTTAACGGTATACTTGATGTGGGATTGCTTGTGAGTATGTCTGAGTGTGTGGCGCCGAAGCTGGTGGGCGGTAGACTTCAAATCCTTGCTGTCTTGTGCTTCATGATTTCTGTCCCTTTGGCCCAACCAGCCAGCAAAGTCCACCAAGCCCTGGCGATGGACTTGCGATGCCACGATGCGGAATGGAGGGAGGGGAACGGGGACCCTTGAGATCATATTGGGATGGCCCCATTCGCGGAGAGCCGTGATAGGGGAGTGGAACCCGCGGAAGCTCGATGCTGGGGGCTCCATACGACATCCATCAAGAGTGTTAGCGCAGCAGTTGCCGATGTGCGCTTGTCTGCCCCGTGAGTGCCGTACGATAATTATCAAGAGTCAGCTAAGTCAACCTGGCTGTCATGGCGGCGGTCCTCGCTGATAGATATTTAAGCAATATGATGAACCCGTAGATAGGCGATACTAATAGGCTCTACTGAGGAGTTGGGCTAGACAATTAAGGAGTGAATCAAAATGATTGAACTGTACGGGCCAGTGTACCGGTAATCACGAGTGAGCGAGCATCGTCATGGCCTCTTCCTTCGGACGACCCACGACGCAGCGTCCGCTGGGGATTGTTTGGTAGCTGGATGATGTCAGGAGAAGTGAGAGCGATGCGTCGATTGCAGGCTTAGCTGGGGGCCTTTCCAGGGCATTTTGCGGGTCTTCTCGAGTTTCGGCCTGGCAGGAGTGACACCGCCGTGCAAATCTGCAAATCAAGGCCGATGAGGACCACAGTCAAGTACCTGACGTTTCATACTGTATCAGGATGGGTTTTGGTGAGCCTCGGAGTAGAAATGGCAGCCATTGATGTTGCGGGGTTAGATATGGACTTTGCGTGCACACTGTACGCGACACCGCTCGCTGTGAGATTTTGTGAGAGTGCCTTGGCGAAGCGGGCGGCCAGACCACTTTAATGGGCTGCTGCCAATGCCGTTCCGGGAGGATTGGAATGGGCGAAATGGAGTGATTGTACCAGAAGTACCTGAGGTCTGGAAAAGAGGGCAATTCCCGTAACTCTCTCAATGTTGTTTGGCGAGGTCAGCAGCCATCTCGAACGGCTCACCATCGTTTGCTGCCAACGTCTGAACGGCGAGGATGTTGGCCATTGGCAAAAGAGCCAACAAAATAGATGTAGCTGAAGACCATGAACTGAAGGTTATTTGCATCTATCGGCGACAAACGCATATCGGCACGCGCTGGCGAGTAAGGCGAGGACAAAGAAAGGTGAATGTTTCGTGATGATACAGTGTAGGGAACACGGCCTATTTCGATTATCTGGAGAGTCGAAATGACGGGCACCCTCCGTTGGCTCCCTGTGAGCAGCTGCAGCACAGCGCTGCATGCACTGGAATTTGGGTCTATCTGCGTCGACCGCCTTGTTCAGTATTGCATAGTAATTTGGCCTCCACTTTAGGTTGACATGAAAGTATCGCGATTCTTTCTTGGTTTGTTGGACTTTTCGTCTAATATGTCAAACGAAAATAAATGCCTAAGAATGACGAGAATGCAGTTGCTCCTGTTCGCCTTTGCCTGGGGTCGCCAGCTTTTTTTCCCGGCGGGGAGAGAGAAAAACGAGAAGGAACGATGGGGTATGAGGCAATCGCGCGCAGCCAGGAGACAACGCGGCATCGAAAAGCCGCCACCTACCTCAGATGCGATGGGCCAGTCGCACCTTCCTCGTCGTAGGTGTATGCCCAGCACGCCCAGGTCCCCAGGCGGATGGATGATTCCTCTCAGTGTTTTGTCAAATTGGACGGCCCATCACCCACCAGCCTAATTGTAGACAGGAATAGCTACCATCGTGCCTTCTTTACGCTCGCTGGCTTCGTGCCTGCTGTTGTGATTGCTTTCATATCGAGGGTGCCTTAGATACCCATACCCCATACCCAGGGATCCTGTTGCTTCCAAAGACCGAGAAAACCTAGTGGCTATCTGAGGAAGGTTGTAAGGTACGGTACGGAGATAGAGTGCCGACACAGTACTGTAACGAACCAACCTAGGTACCCAAGCACCCAAGCACTCCTCAAAGACTGCCAGTCGCTTGGAACGAAAGTACAGTACCTGCCAACGGAACGTCCCTGCTGCCGTAAATTACTCGCCTTGTCTTTTCCCTTTTCCCGATCACGATTCTTACCCAACGCCGAGGGACATAGAAACTTTTTCTGTGAACGGTGCAGTGTGCGTCTTGAGTGTACCTTAGGTATCTAGATACCTGATGTGAGAAAGAGCGTGGTTGCGTTGGTTGCTCTCACTAATTATTAGAGTTACCTGCCGACCAAAGCAAGCACAAGCACGAGCACGAGCATCAGCACGCCCCCCGTCGCTTTTCCGTCCCTCGCCTCAGCCGATCTGACGCCCGCCGACAAGCCCACACACACGCAGGCACACACACCAACACACCTCTCTCTCTTACCTCCTTCCGCGGCGACCCTGCGACTTTCATTCTTCCCTCCTCCAAAACACGAAATTGGCACGTCGGTTCTCGCAAATCCCACCAGAGCTCCCACGGAATCGATGCTACCAGAACCGAGCTGAGCAGTCGTTCGAGGACTCGAAGCACATCGAGACCGAGAAAGCACGCGGACCAAGTCTCTCCTAGGCATTCTCCTGCCGAAGTCACAGGGTTCGGCACCAGCAGCAGCAGCAGCAGCAGCAGCGGACAAATCCTTGGACCGACCAGACCAGACCAACCACTGTACTGTACTGCACTGTACTGTACAGGACCATCACCCTCCACTGTTTTGGGGGTTAGCAGCAGCTAACACCAACTGTGGTCCCTCCCCCCCAGCGCCCCATCCCCCCCAAACCCAACCGAAGCCGAGAGGAGAGAGAAGAAGAAGGGTGCAGAGTCGTGCGCAACCACCTTCCGTCAACCGAACCTCCTCCTCTTCTTTCGACTCCAACCCATCACTCGAAATTCGTCGAGAACGACACCCAGAGCAGAGCAATGTCGACGCCGACAACTGCCACTGCGACCCTTCCTCATTATCCTCACTCTCACTATCCCTTTTCACATCATCAGCCATATTCTGCCAATTCCTCCGCCGCCTATCGGTCAGCGAACCAGATCCTCCCCACTTCCGGCAGACTCGCGCCCTACTCCGCTACCACGAGCAGCCAGGCTGGGATTAATGGGTCTGCCCTCTCTGCCTCTTCCAGCTCAGGATCGAGTCGGCACGACATGTCCAGTTTGAGCTCATCTTCAAACTCGAATTATACCACAATGCCCGTCTCCGCCGCCACGGTGGCTCAGTCCAACGGCACCAGCGCCGCTACTGTCCTGGTCGACTCCCAGCCGGCACGGAAGAGAAGACGGTCAAGAGAACCCGACTGGCACACCTTCTACAAGAACGGCCTCCCAAAGGAGATCATTGTCATTGACGATGACTCGCCAGAGCCAGATAAATCATCTGTCCCGGCCGTCTCCAAGACCCTGGTAAATGGCGCTGCAAATGGCAGCCACACAAATGGGGTCAACAGCGGCACCACAAATGGCACCAGTGCTCGCCACATCGCCAAAAAGAGGAAGCGAGACGATGACGGCGCCCGCTATGATCCAGTCCACCACAGCAGACTGAATGGCTCAGCAACAAACACTCCCCATCACAATGAGACCCCTAGTGGCTCGACTATCTCGAGTGATCGTACAAACTCGGCAATCCATACCACCGCAGCCACCTCACTAGGCTCGCTTTCGTCAAGCGGCCATTACGACTACGATACGCAGCCCGGCCAGAAGAGGAAGCGCACACGACAACAGATTGCAAACGAAGCCAAGAGAAGAGAACTCGGTTTACTCGGACAAAGCTATACCAGTTATCGGCCGCCTCCCCATCCTGTCAAGAAGGCATCAGACGTCCACGTTCGCGTTGTCCCAGACGTAAGTTCCCCCAATTAGGTCTTGATCAATCCATCATATCGAGCCATCACTAATTTTTTTCCTCTTCTAGCATGCCTACAACAAAAACATCAAAGTGGATGATGACGATGGCCACTACATTGTCGTTCCTGATGCGGATTTGACCGAAAAGTGTATGTTTTCCCTCTTAAAATGATAATGGCACCGTGCTGATGTTTTGCTAGATCAAATGATCAAACTGCTCGGACAAGGCACATTCGGCAAAGTTGTGCAAGCTCGTGACCGCAGAAAGAACGAATTGGTCGCCATCAAAATCATTCGGTCAGTGCAAAAATACAGAGATGCGTCGAGGATCGAACTCCGAGTCCTTGCAACACTCAAAGCAAACGACGAGGAAAATCGGAACCGGTGCATCCATCTCCGCGATACCTTCGATTTCCGAGGTCACATTTGTATCGTCATGGACCTTCTCGGCCAAAGTGTATTCGATTTCCTGAAGGGAAACAACTTTGTGCCTTTCCCAAACAGCCAGATTCAGAGTTTTGCAAGACAACTCTTTACCAGCGTGGCCTGTAAGGATACCCTGTTCAATCAGAGACCATCAACAACTGCTAACTTTCATAGTCCTTCATGATCTTAACCTTATCCATACGGATCTTAAGCCCGAGAACATCCTTTTATACGACAGCACCTACCAGACATTCACATACAACCGCAAGATTCCGTCATCATCCACCACAGTCAGCCGTCAGGCCACCCAAAGAAGAGTTCTCCTCGATACAGAGATTCGGCTGATAGACTTCGGTTCCGCTACATTCCAGGACGAATATCATTCGTCTGTGGTCTCGACACGGCACTACCGAGCACCAGAGATTATTCTCGGTCTGGGCTGGTCCTACCCTTGCGACATATGGAGTATCGGCTGCATACTTGTGGAGTTCTTCACCGGAGATGCGTTGTTTCAAACACACGATAACCTCGAGCACCTGGCTATGATGGAAGCAGTGTGTGATCAACGAATTGATAGCCATCTTGTCACGGCTGTAAATAAAAATACGCGGAATGGTGGTAATCCAGCTTCCAAGTAAGGCTCACGTTTCTTGAGATGCTCAGAGAAGGTTACTGACATGTACAGATATTTCAAGCGGCTCCGGCTTGATTACCCCCAACCCGACACAACAAGAGCATCTCGACGATTCGTCAAGGCAATGAAACGGTTAGATGTAGGTATCTCCAAGTATAGTCCTTACAACAGCGCTAATGTACGCCAGGATATCATCCCCAACAACACTCCCTTCTTGAAGCATTTCCGGGATCTCCTCAAGAAAATCTTTGTCTATGATCCTGCACACCGTATCACGGCGAAAGAGGCATTACAACACCCGTGGTTTAAGGAGACTGCACATCCGGATGATGGAACTGAGGCGGCGAGGATACGAATGGAACGGATGCGAATGAACCAGGAATTGGCAGCTTCCAGGATGCACGCCTCATGACACAGGAGGCTATCATGATTTTGACGATTTAGGCGGATCCTTCTTTCCGCCTGTGTACAGCCTGCGGGACCCTATCGATCCTGCCGGCATGTCTATTGTTCAATAGTGTTTGGTTGGAGGGCCACATCTTTCTATGACAATATCACAGGCTTTCTTGAAGGCATGATGATGGGATAGGAGTTTAGGAATTTAGGGTTCAGCATTGAGACACACTTGTTCCGTTGGGGGCATAATAGGCATTCTAACGGGATACGAAACAAAGATACATAGAGAATTGTTCTCGTGAACGAGCTCGCAGCATGTTAGACGGGATGTCGCCGTCTCATATAGGCCCCCATCAGCTCTGCCCCTGGAGGCAGCGTTGAGTCTGAAATGGAACGACCGAATATCTCTGTGCCCACTCGCATTCAGTGGTGTCCCAACTCTTTGGCTTCTATCGCAATCTGTCGGACAGCTAAAACATGACAGCTTTCTTTTGTTGCTGGACTTCTGAGAGCAAATATCTCACGTTGACTACAGCCACTTTGGGTTACGTCATGATCACAGTCCTCCGGATCCATATCTTTGAATCCGGCTGCTTGGGTCAGACCGAAATCCCTTTGTTACTGACAACTAATAGGTGAAACCTACGAAAGATGAGACTCCCGCCAGTACTATGGCTTTGTCCAAGGCGTGGTTCGGTACTTGAACAAAGGAGTTAAGACACCCTGCTTCGGCATACAATCCTCGGCACTGGGCATCAAAGAACGTTGATTGTTCAAAGTCGTGTTCTAGGCTGTTCATGAACATTGGGTGATATCTCCGAGACATACATAATGCGCTTACAGAACTTCGAATGGAACTCTGAAGAGGAACACAACCTTTCTGTTCAACAACTTGTCCTTACTAACTGAGAACTGGACTCATTCACAACTGACAGGTACAGAGTATTTGTGTCCCTTTCCTCATTCCATTAAGGTCTTCCCCCGCGTCTACGCTCTTCTGGGCACTTGACCCCTTTTCACAATGGTCGAATATCTCCAATTCGTGTCTGACATGACAGACGAACAAGTCCACGCCCTGACGGACCTGCTCGCCATGCCGCCCAAGTACCTCCTGGCGGGCGGCGTCCCGGCACAGGAGTGGCTCGCCCGGCAGGAGGAGAAGATGCTCCGTCTGCCCCGGGAGTTGACCAAGCCGACGGGGTTGGTCGACCGCACGCGCATCGCCCTCGCGAAGAAGGGCCTCTCGACCGACAAATGGTTGCCTCGGGTGTCCGTACTCTGCACGACACACGCGCTGCTCAACCCCTGGGTTGTCCACCGCGTCTTCCTACTACTGCAGCATGAGGTCATGCACCGCGTCAATACCGTTCGCTACTACCGCGGCGAGCTCAAGACCCAGGAGGTCGTCGACTACTGTACCCATGTCAGCGGCATCTTGTCGCTATTCAAGACCCCGACCGAGTTTGCCGCCATCTGCCGCACAGAGTATCCCGGGCACCTCCGCTTCGACCGTATTGCGTCAGGCTGTGAGGCGTGTATCCTCGCTGCTGTGGGCTCCAGGGCGCAGCTGCTCGTCGATCTCAAGGCGAGCCTGCTGGGCCGCGCGGACAGGCGCAAGGAGCCGAGACTCATGCGCTTCGTCGACCGGTGGATGCAGTGCTTTGGGCCGGAGAACGAAGGTGAGTTGTTGCTGGCCAGCCAGCGGCTGGGCGAGCAGATCCGCGCCATCAACAAGTCTGATGCGAAGAGGCGAAGGGAGGTCCGGCGGCTTAGGAAGGAGAAGATCGCTGCCGTGGAGGCGGAGAAGGACGACATGGAGAGACAATTGAAGAAACAGCGCATAACGGCCAGCCAGCTACGCATGGGGCTGGGCGAGATCGATAAGAATATTGAGCGTAAGTATGGAAAGGATTGGGAGAAGGGGCGGTTCCGTGAGTCGACAAGACCAGCGATCTCGACCCCGAATAATCATCATTCCGCTCCACACAAAGACTCGACACAGTCTAGGCCTACGTCCGAAACCCCTGTGGTTCAGCAACACCGCGAGGATCAGCGCCATCCCGAGCCTCAGATGTCCGGAGCACTTGGTGACGAGCGAGAGCCTCAGGAAAACGCCTTTGACCTTGAGCATGATCTCGGGCATCATCACGAGGAGATCTATTTCGAACAAGACGAGCGAAATCTTGATCATGAGCAGCGGCTCGAACAGTCAATCGATGACTGGTATCAACGCTCCGTCACGGCGGCCTCAAAAGCCCCGTCTAACGCCGATCCCTTCGACTGGTCCGGCTCAAACCACGATTTCCGTGACACGAGATCGTTCGCGGCGAAGTCCGCCGTTCCGTCTCCGCTTCTGGTCGCGAAGGACACCAAAGGTAAGAGTAGGGAGGAGGGCGATTCAGCCGCCATTGACAGGCTGAACCTTGACGATGACCGCTCCTGGGTAAGTGTGACTGTTCATTCTAACTCCAGCTCAGACAGAGAAGTCGCCACGGCAAGCGATGCGCCGGCTGTGCCTCGAATCCCGTCCAAGTACGGCGTTTTTGAGAACCTCACTCGCGAGGAGCCTTACGCGCCGTCGAGCGTCTACTCCAGCGATGAAAAGGGGTCTACTTTCACGCCTTCCCCGGCGAGCACACCGGTTGTGGCTCCTGAGAACAGGAGCTCGGCTGTTTTGCCTTTGACGGAACAGAACGTCTCGTCGGCACGAAACAGTGCTTATAGTGCCCGCACACCACTAGACTCACCCGCCCGGTCACCTTCCCGTCATTCGAAGAGGTCTCACAAGAGTAAGAGCAGTAAGAGCGCGAGCGTTAGCACTCTGAGACTGAGTGAGGAACAAAAAGAAGACAACAACAGCCAGCCTCGCTTCTCCGACCCCTGGATTCCACGTTTCGAGCCAGATGACGTACCCCTTCGACCCACCACCACATCCGTGGTGTCGTCTGCCGTCTCGCCCGGCACAAGGCCCGCCTCCGACGAGTACAGGGCGATGCAAGCTGAGCTCGAGGATGCATTCAGCATGGTGGACCGCGACGACGCCGTGTCCGATGAAATCGTCCACCCGGACGACTCGGTCAGCCAGGTTCACCCTCGTCCACCAACTAGGATGGGCACGGGGAAAACTACTCTGCGGAGCGTGACTGCGAGTGTTCGGCCGGCCAGGAACACTAGTAAAAAAAGCGACTCGACAAAGTATTTGGGTCTGTACCGTGATGAATGAGGTAGGTGAAACCGTTGCTTCTCTCGTGCTTGATGCCCCGAGAGGTATGGTGAACATTCATTTTAGATATTTCCTTGTAAGTCATCCAGTTTCAACTTGATTAACCATCATCACAACGTTAGTATGTCTGTGTCAACAGTGTGGTTACTTATGAATATGTTTTCATCAAAGAAGGAATTACAATAGTTGCAAAAACTCCTTCCATGCTTTATTTTCCCGTGTAAGACTCGGAGTGAAACTTTTGATATTTATACACTGAAGCGCACAGCGGTGCCGCGGCCGCTTGTCTATATTTTATTTATCGTCATCTTCCTCTAACAGCTTCCTCAGCGCCGGCAGGAAGAGCTCGGCCTGCTGAAAGTCTCCCAGCTTGACCCTCATGTGATCAAATGCCATGAGAACCACCTGGTGATCTTTCACCCCATTCTCTCCGCTATCATTTCCAAATACAGGTATCTTCGGGTATCGCTGTGAGAAATGCGTCAGCAAAACCCTGCGCGCCTCCATCTCTCGTGCCACGCCCAGAGCCTCCGACATGGTGCTGTGCTTCTTGACCAAGGCATCACCGCTCAGCTCGTCATCCAATGTCGCCTCGTGGATCAGCAATGTCGCGCCCCTGCCGATCTTAGCGAAGGTGCTCGACGGACGGCAGTCTCCAGAGTACGCAATCTTCAGGCCAGAAGGCCAGGACAGGACGCACGCCAGCGCGCCGAAGCAATGGTCGACGCGGCAGGCCTCGATGCTTGACAGACCGAAGGCATCGCGCTCTGCTCCCTCAAAGTGAATGGGCGTACATATCCCGTCGCGCGCCGGTGGCCCTTTAAGCTCGACCAGACGCAGACGGTCGTAGCCGTAGTCCTCTACGTCGGCGTACTCGCGCAGCCAGTCAAGCATGTTGACGTGCGACGCCACGGCAAGCCGTGCGTCTTTGTGGCTGTTGGATGCCGCTGTGGCGTCTCGCCAGGCACGGATGACGCTGGCTGTGCCGAGGTGGTGGTCGGCGTGCAGGTGGCTGATCCAGATGGCTTTGAGGTCGCGTAACATCTCATCGGCAGCCTCGAAGCCATAGAACCGGTGGATCTGGCCTAGAGTATTCTCGCCGCAGTCGAAGAGATAGTTGCCGTAACCGGGGACTCGGACCAATGTCGCAGAGACGTTGCGATACTTGGATGGGAGAGCGGATCCAGTGCCGAGGGGAATGATTTCAGCATCGCGATTAGGAATGTCCTTCTCGGTTTCTTCAACATTTGCTAGGAACTCTGGAGTGATCTTGGCACGAGCTGCATCGCAGAGTGATAGCACATCGCCCTGGACTTCGCGGTAGGCTCGCTTCGTATCAATGAGTGGTACAACCTTGTCGTCTTGGAACAAAAGTTGAGGTGCCAGTTGCATTGTTGCGCCTGGTTGGGCTATTTCGAAAGGCCGAATTTTGTCAGAGACAATTGATCCAGACGCTTGGTTATTGAAATGTAGAAGCGGGAATCGCTCAGGATCTATCCTATTGTTCTTAATTGATGCAGCAGCTGGTGATTCCAGGGCAAGAATGTTGGAACAAATATCCGTCGAAAATACTGTGTGTCTCATCGATGGATGTTGCTTCATAAAATCCTGGATCCTAGCATCCTGAGCCACACCAGAACCTAGCGTCCAGTAAATAGCCTGAACCGTCTTCATGATCTTGATATTTGACCATTCTGGTCGTGCAAGGAACGCATCGACGTAGGAAATATCTGGAATGTCGACAATGGCGAAGCCGTCGCCTTCGATCGTCGCTCCAACGACCATGTCAGGGGTAACGGTCTGCCCATCCTTGGAGGTTACCGGTTTGCCCTGTGTTAGCAGCTTGTATTCTTCTTTTTTGACACCGAGTCTCTCTGCCTCCTTGACATTGAACTTTCCTCTCCTGGGCTGGTTCTTTACAATATAGCATAATGACTGCCGGGAAGGAGATGTGCGTGGTAGGCTCTGTATTCTTGCTCCCGGCCATGGCTGACGGACCAAGACGGGCAGATCCGGGACCTGAACGAGACCGCCTGGCATCGGGCCCTCATATTTCTTGATACGGCCATTTTCGTCCTTAACGAAGAGCATTGCTGGGAGTTTAGCCTTATGCAGGGTTGTTTCCACCAACGCATCCAGTTGCCAGTCGGAGTCAAACATGTGGTTGACAACAGCATCGATTGTTTGTTGATCATTGATTTTTTGCTCAGCTTCTGTAATTCCGCCGTTCTCCTCATCATCCTCGGGGTCCGAGATCATATCATGGCTCCTCTTCCTAGAAGGTGCTTTTGATGGCCCATCTGGGTTCAGTAACACGTACCAGACCTGGATATTCGAGTCTTGCCAATCCGGGGCACTGCCATCCGCTGCGGTCAATCGAGGGTCTGTCAATATTTCTGTAGGTTTGAGAGGAAGTCCTTTCCGAAAGATAAACCGTCGCGCTGTTGCAAGCACATATTTCAGGTTATCTCCTCCCCGTATGCTCAAACTCGACATACCCGCAGAAACTGGTGCCTTATTCTTTGCTTTCTTCTTCTCATTCTCAGCAGCCCTCGATGCTTTCTGCCCAGCGACTACGTCCGCTATCGTCAGGATCATTCCCAGCAGCCCGCCGACATTCTTCCAGCTGATCGGGCCCGTGAGAAAGATCTCTTCCGATTTGGCGAGCGCAACTTTGCGCTGCGTGGTGATTCGCTGTGTGCCCTCCGCTACATGGCCGAACAGGTACCGCCGGTTCTCAAAGTGCAGTAGCAGACATGCGCCAGGTGTGTCCGCCGTGGGCGTGGACAGCACCTGCACGGAACTCAGCATACCCACGGTCCGGTGCCTGTTGTCCTGTTCTACGGGCTCAGCCGCACTGTGCTTTTTTTTGAAAAGGTAATAATGCGCAGGGAACGGCCCCTGGGGATTGCGTTCTCGTATGACACGGACTCGATCGTCGAAAAGGGTGGGAGGAAGCTTCGCAGACAGGAACGATGGCTTAGTGCTTTCGTCGCGCTTCTTCAAGAGCCGTGGGAGGCGGCGACGCGCTGGGGGTGCAGCTCTCACTAACGCAGCAGCTAAGCGCATGAATATATTTCAAGTCACCAGCATGCGGACTGCCCGATGACTATTGTTGCATGGTGTTCTGCACAAGCTGGGCTTGCCGGTTGACTCAGTCGTGTCTGGGTGGGAGGAGATGCCTTGTGAAAGCTTAGCCATAAATTTTAAGAAATTCTTATCGGATCTCTTATCGCAATGGCACTGCCCGCCTCTAGGTGGTTCCGAGGTCCCCTCCCCCCTGCAGACCCTGGCAAGTGCCTAGGTATGCACAATGCCTTCAAAAAAAGTCTACGCAGTCTTCAACAATACCAATAGGGGCTAATCGTTTTCAAGATTTCAGAATCGGCTCTTTGCCGACTTCCTAAGCAAGCAGACATATAATTTATAGCCAGCGAGATTCCCAATTTCCGGAGGCAATGCCCATTACCCCCGTTACTAGAACTTGTCAGTGGCGTATGGCTGAATAACAGGCGTGAGGCGCAAAGAAGGTACTTAGGTAAGTTGGCAACTGTCACCAAATACCATCTCAACTGATATGACATCTTTTGCAAATTATAAACACAAGGGTCCCGCTAGTGAGTAAGTCTTGTCTATCAGCATCCGAGAGGCTTCTTTCACGAGACGTGAGATTATGACGTCTTCTACCAAAGTGCTGTTCCTTCGCGATCTCGGAGACGGTGCCTAGTGAACAGGAGTAGCCATCCCTAAAACAACCTGGCGCCGTCCGTGGGCTCGGACGTTTTGCCTTACCACGATGAATTTTTCCTTGCATTGTTCAAGTCTTGCTCATTTTAACTTTGTTTAATAAGCTGGTTGTTTGATTCTTCACTACCTGCTGGAACGGACTATTCTAGTAACCGTGGTGCTCCTCAGAATCACTTTCACGTTCCCTTCGTGCGACCAAGATGAGTCTACTCCCGACACGTCGTGCTTGTATGAGAGAGATGGCGCAGAAGCGGATTGCGTCTAATTGGGAGGTACCCAAGTCCTATAAGCGTATAAGAATCGTCGGACGTGAGGATATCGAGTTGACTTATCCTCTCATCACTGCCTATCTTGAGAACCCTCACCTCGCCTTGTCCGTCGAACATTTCGTGCTAGACGAGAGCTCATGGCCCAGTAGCAGAATGGGGTACGCAGGGCCGGACCTACCGAATTCTGCTAGACCAATCCACGAAGATGCACACAAAGCTATCGAAAACTATGTGAGAACTCTCGGCTTGGAAGAGGCTACTACTCAGAGAATGCTTCTTGCTCTGTACTGGAAGAAACAATTTCTCGAAGAGGGAAAGCAGGAGGCAGATACTCACTTCCATGCTCGCAATACTGAATATGGCTATGCTGCTACTATTGTGTTGCTGTCGCTGTGCAAGAACATCACCACATTACATCTTGGCGCTACCAACCCGTATCAGCCCCTTGGAGAATACATCATGAAGTCCAACTACGGCTTGATCTCAAATCCTGCTCTCCAGGAGCTCAAATCTGTAGAGTATCTTCCTAATGAGTATTTCTCAACCAATTATAAAACTACATACATCCGGTTTGCATTTCTAGACTGGTTCCGATATTTTCACCGCTTGCCTGAAATTGAGTCAGCAACCATAGAGGGCGTGATGCAATATGAAACCTATCGCAATCTATTCGCGCCTAATATTTCCAATGTCAAAAGACTACGTCTGGGTCACTCTCACATCTACAGCTCGATGTTAGGTACGATCATTCGGATGCACAAGGGGCTTGAAGAGCTCTCGATCTCTCTGGGCGGAATGATAGTGTTACACGGCATAGCACACAGGGTGTATCCCAAGACGATTGGAAAGTCTCTGCTGACGCAGAAGGACACATTACGCATCCTCGATCTAGATATGGACATTGCTCACAGTGCGCATGTCAGCCACGATGGCACCATCACTGAGATTGAGGACGACAAGGAAAAAGAAGAATTCGAAGCTTTTGGCGGCGAGGAGGAGGCTCTCGCTAAAGAATACGATAAGTGGTTCGGCATGGACAAAACAGTCAGTGGCGGCGGCCCTCTATGGGTGGAGGAGCTGCCGGATACACGACCGTATCAGTTGACTATCGGCTCACTTCACGACTTTACTGCCTTGAAACGCCTTAGTATTGGTATCCGCTTTCTTATGGGACCGAACGTACGTCACTATGTCGGACCAAGCGCCTGGACGGAGCCATCAGGTCCACCGTTCCGGCTAGCTACAATGCCACCTTTCAGGCTTGTTGATGCCCTACCCCCAAATCTCGAGTACCTCTGTCTGCGAGGCTACTTTAGGGGTGAGAACCCGGATGTTGATGATCATATCAACGAGTTGCTAGAGAAGAAAACTGATCGATTCCCTCATCTAAAGGAGGTCGAGGGTATTGACATCCCAGTTCCTGGACTAGGTCTCGAATATGGCAAGAACAGGTCAAACAGAGCTGGACCAAAGGATGGAAAGTCTGACACTGACATGGATGAGCGCTACATTCGTCATCTGGAATTGGACTTGGACTGGATAGAAATATAACATTGTAATATCAGATTCCAGGATACAGAGAGTGTGCTATGGGTTGTAACTGATGACCTCTAAGTTGCGAACTGAGTATTCGGTATCTGGCACCAATTAGTCTGTTTGATATCGAAATCTTATTGTGGCTCGTCATACTTCCGCTAGGCCCAGGGGAACCTGAAGAACCTTCCATTTGCAGGTTGATAATACTTTAACAGGATCAGTTCAACTTCAACAGGGAAACCCTAAAAGTAGGACAATTTATGACTCACAGGTACATAGGTTTTCCAAAGAAACCGCCACCGACCTGTGTCGTGATCAAGGTGTCATCCATGTAGAACTTAACAGAGACATCGCGCCCATTGATATCCCTAACCTCGCATTTGATCTTGTGAAAATTTGACGGAGTAGGATACGTCACATCTTTTGCTGCAACTTGTGAGGACGTGTTAAACGTATTGAATGATATCTTTCCAGATCCCTTCCATTCAGCCATATCGATCTCCGGTGGCCATCCATTGACAGCCGTGAGCCAGAACGCTGGCCACGTGCCTTTGGTGGTAGTCGCTTTGAACTCTCCCGTAAAATCATACCCACCACCCTTCGACACATTGAAGTGCTCTTTTGCGTGGATTGCGCCGGATAGATAGTTGATTGGGATAGACTGGCCGCCATGAGATGCTGGAGCTTGACCGCTCACCTTTTGAGCAGTTAAAGTCAGCGTACCGCCAGAGAATTTGACATGTGCCTTGTCCATCCGAGCACCGCCATTATGGTCAGATCCCCATGGGTATAGATAGTTCCAGTCCGTGTCAAAATCGGCCTGTGAGTTGAAGCTTGTCGTCGGGATCATCGTTCGCACGGCTGTCGCCCTGGGAAGGACCGAGCTTACAGTCAGCAATGCGGCTACAAAGCCTTGCGAAACAGACCTCATGATTGGCAAAGTTCGATATGTGAAGACAACCTGCCAATTTACTGGCGTATCTGCTGGGCATATTGAGCTCTATAATGCATTTATATAGCCATTTTCGGCTCGCATACCCCCGCCCACCTTCCAATTGCAGGGTGACATGGATGATCCATAAAAATGGATGAAACAAAATCAAATACGAACTGCTACTATGTTCTTTTCTCACTAGTGGAAGTAACTCTCCGATTCAAATATATTACCCGCGCTGCGCCGAGAGCAGCGGCATCGGTCAGGTTTCAGGACCGGCGAGACGGTAGACCGGGTAAAGGTAGCCTCCTCAATCAGCTTGATTGCAGCTCGATTCTGTTATACTGTCCTGGTGGTCTGGTAGTGTATTTTTCAGCTAATTGAGTATCAACGTTTGTGTTGTATTCCCGGAGGTTAGGTTCTTAGTTCTTTATCACGATGTATGTGAAATTATGTAGTACGAAGATGACGTGCAAATGATTACATTATTGAATCAGAGCATCTTATTGAAAAGGAAAAAAAGGCACCTCAAACGGACTCAGCAATAGATCTTATGACGTTGCTGAATTCCTCCGCCCTATCCATTGCCAGAGCGCAATGGCTCACATCGATGTAGACCTCTCCCAGTGGTCCGCTGAAAGGGTTTACATCGCTGTCCTTGCCACCTTCCTGCTGTGCCCGTCTTGCCATGAACTCTTGAAGATTCACGGCAAACGCTTTATCATTTTTAGTGTAGACATAAGTTGAGGGTACAAATCTCCAACCCGCGACCGTGACCTTCGAAAATGTGAATGCAGCGGCAGCATGAGGCTTCAAAAGAGATTGCGCACTAGCTGCACTATCCTTCGTCATGTCTTCGTAAAAGTACTCGGTAGCATTTATGTTTGGCACCATAAGGCCGTTCTGGCGCGGATTAGTGGTGGTGTAATCATAGCAGATATGAAATTGCCGGCGGCAGACGTACATCGTAATCCCAATAGGGTATTTGCCACTTTTCAACGGGCCCAAAATCCATGCCGTTGAATGCTTCTGACAGGACGGTGCCAAGTGTATGGCCTTCAAACGGCACATGAGCGGACATGTAAATAAGGTGTTTGATTTTACCGTTCGTCTTTTCTGTATCTCGCCGTGCTTCGACAATTCTACCCACAGCTTCCGTGCCCGGCATACCACCATATGAGTGAAACACGAGGATGACATCATTGCATTGGTCTACAACAGACGTGATGGCCGATATGATGGCGTCCACATCGGCATCAAAAGATGTCACAGGTGGGTTTCCTCCTACGGAAGGCAGGCTAACGGCGAAAGCTGGAAATCCATGCTTCCCTAGGTCTTTTACAACCGGCTCGTAATGTTCTGGTACATGCCAAGCTCCCGGGACGAAAATGATTGTCGGATTATGTGTCATTGTGATCGGGACTAGTCTGGCAACCGGTATAGTTTAGCTATGCAAATGCGAAGTGCTTGAGGCCAGAGAATAAGAGCTAAGATGCATCAACACGTTACTCTTCAGGTCAAGCGAAACACACAATCACTTCTCACCTATATAGAGAAGAAATTGCGATATATATACATTTCCTAACAGCTGCTACATGAGCTGTCATACTCGTAATTTAATCCAAAAGATCCATGGCTTGTCGAGACAGGGGCGAGAGGGAAAAATGCCAAAAGCAACAGGGAAAGCCTATGCGTAAGATTCGTACCCTACGAGCGAATCAATTACTCCAATTGGAGACTTGCTGTCATTCCACCAGGGTGATGGGGCTGCAGAACTGCATGTAGCTGAAATGCTGACTGCGCTTGTGGTGTATAGCTTGAGTTATAAGCTTAATAATTGATGTTTAACGCCGAAAACCAGCCAAGTATGGTGCTAGCCCTAGTTTGATCAATGAACTACACTCCTCTACAGATGCCTTGCTTGTGTATCTCTATTTTTCAGAGCAAACATCACACCCACTTTGTGTCTACGGCGACAGGTTGGTACTATTCTGATTTGGAAGTGATTTAGAATAGGTGCTTGGTTTGAGACATAATGTCTCAAAAGACGAGTTAACTGTGTGTAATGTTGTCTAGTAATACATAAACATTTAAAAGGGGGTTTTTTTTTTTGCCTTTTTTTCTTTTCGAATGCGGACAGAGTCAAGGCTGCTCATAGAATGAGAGAACGATAATCTGGACTGCTAAGGACACATGAGCAGGTGGCAACTTGTACATCATTGATAGCCCATAAGACCCCAGACGTTGTCATAGCTTATTCCCCTGTCGACCATCGAGACCGGTAACTTTTGATTTTCAAAATGGGAAGAACCAGAGGATTTCATATTTGAGACTATGTAAGATCTTGGAGTGGCTTCCACCAGAATTTTGTACCCCTAAGAGGCTCGATATTGCAAGGTTATTTCGATTTCTAGGCTAGCCAATATGAAAATGGGAGAAACTGATTAGTAGGATCCTCCCCGACGTGGTCTTTCATAACTAAGGCTGTACGAGCTGACATCTCAGGAAGCATATCGACATACATCACCCATTTCCTCTCCGTCCATTCTCTCAGTTCCAGCCCGTCCTGACCAGGATCCAGAGTTAACCCGGTCACTGTTAGATACATGGACCCATCTTCAGTCCATTTTTATTGTGGGCACCAGACTCTTCTCTTCTCGCCTAAACTTTCAACCTTTCTCTCGACAATCTCTCCCTCACCGGCAAATATAAAGCAACTCACCCCACAAATTTTGCAAAAGAGGTAGCGGGCTTCTTCTCCATGCACGTATAGTCGCTCATTTCCTTCCAAGGGTCGAATGGTGAAAAGAGCATGAAGTCATCAGGCGGCGAGGCTGGCCATATGTGCAACAAACCCATCTTTTGGCAGGTACCACAATTGCAGCGGTAAATGAACTGTTTCGGCTCATCTATTCCTCGCCTGTAGCTGACGCTAGGAGGATCGCGAGGCAGAGTTAGATAGGTGACGTATTTGACGCCTCCACAACGGCAGGATCCAGACTGCTGAGACTTTCCAAGGGAGATAGTTTTGATCCATTGCATGGTAGACTTGAAGTCTGCCCTTTGAACAAGCTTCCTGAGTACGAGGCGTTAGATTCATACACGTGGGCAGATTCGAAAGGAGACAGTAGCAGATCCCACGTGGTGTATTTGGGAGAGTACTGGGATATCTTACCTATCACTGCCAACTGCGAAGCGGCCTTGCGGGCCATTCGATACGTTGACGAGGTTAGGACAATCTGGATCGACTCGATCTGCATTGACCAAGATGATGCCCAAGAACGCTCCCACCAGGTCAGCCTCATGCGCCACATTTATGCTGAGGCCTGGAGAGTCCTTGTTTATCTCGGAGAGGCAACAGATGATAGCGATTTAGCAATGAAACTCATTGGGCAGATTGATGACAAATATCGACCCTCAAAGCAAATCGAAAAGTCCAGCATTGCAAATTTGTTTCAAAGGAATTACTTCAATAGGACTTGGATCATTCAAGAAGTCGCCCTTGCTGATTCATTGGTATTCTACTGCGGCCAGTCGTCAGCATTCTTTCCCCCATATGCTGCTTTGAGGAAGACTGTCGAATATGCAACGGAATCACAAGTAGCACCGCCTTGGATGAGGCACTGTCAGACAACAGAAAGACTGGGTGCCACAGACTTGGTTCACCTTGTGATACAAAGCCAGAGATGCCAGTGTGCAGACCCACGCGACAGAGTATTCGCTTTGCTTGGACTACTCAACTCGACTGATTCTGAAGGCTTTGTGCCAGATTACAGTCTTTCCGTCGAGAATGTCTTTATTGGCCTTGCCGCGCATGCTCTACAACGGAGATCACTGGATAGCTCTCGAATCTTTCAGCTTGCAGTGGGCACCGAACCATTGACCCCATGTCTACCTAGCTGGACCCCAAACTGGGCAAGTTCATCTACAAAAAGATACGACATCATGGCTGAACTCAAGGTCTTCACAGACGCAAGCCAAGGCGACAGTTCAAAAGCAGAATTGCGTTTTGACGAGAACATGCCGTGGGAAGGATCTGTGCACAGTCTTACTGGTAGCCTCTCGATCAGAGGTCTTCTTATCCGAGACTTCCAAGGCGACAGTATGAATATTAATGATACAGCTCTTCCTGTTAATAGTGTGCTATTAGAGTGCAGATTTATTAATGGTCAGTGCCAAGTAACGCTCGAGAGCTCCGGAGAGGAAAGAACATCTATTGATAAGATAAAGTTGGGAGCTGGATTTTGTATCTTCCTTTTGGAAGGCTGTTCTTCACCCGTGCTTTTGCAAAAGACGGATCACCCCAACGAGTTTCTTCTCCTTTCAACAGGTTCAGTATTCATCTACTCGCCTATGTTAGATCTTTCACGGAGGCGACGACGTTCCAATGATTCGTTTCTCTTCGATGAACCGTCTGAACTCGAGGAGAAATTGATTCCAATTCCTATTTTGTTCAACAGCCCTCTATATTGCCAGGATGATCATCCTCATTTGTGCGACTATCCACTGGTATTACATACACTTACAAAGACTGAGGAGGTCTTTTTGAATACATGGATGGAGCGCCTGGCAGAAATTGACCCCCCTACCGATGCGAATATGCAACCCCCAGATTATTGGAGAATAGCGGGAAGTTGGTACCTGATCCGAGCTCTGCTTGCCGATTCCTGGCATGACTCATACCACAAAGAAAAGAGGATATGGCAGCAATGCTCAATATCTAAGATTTATCTTAAATCTGTGTCCAAGAACAAAGCCACCTTGCAGGCTCTCTTGGAGGAGGTTATTCGGCGGAATGGCGAGCCTGGATGGCTCTGGCAGCATAAAGATGACTTCGCTGATTTGGAAAAAGTCGAAATTTGGAATATTGACAAAATCCTTTGTTTTCTTATTACCGAAAACAATGACTTAGCAGAAAGCGATACCATCGGTAAGCGAAATGACATACAGATCCACACTAATAAGACGATAACTGATGAAGAGGCAGGCGCTGACGA